TGGCCGCACGCTTGCCAGGTGATCGCACTACCGCTTGAGCCACATCCTCAGCCCTACCTGATGAATTTTCAACACTCAACTAATGTCTATAAGATAAAAGTAACAAAAGTTTTGAAAATTAGGTTTAAGATGACTTAGAAAAGGATACCCCAAACAAGGGGAAAGACTGGTTGCATTATAGAGAGTATTTGGTGTTTAATAAACCTAAGTACAAACTAGTTGTCACTAAAAGAAATGAGGCTGCAGAGCACTAAGTTGTGAACAGCTTTGAAAGATATGCTAAGGAATTTATATATATAATGTTGGCACAAAAGGACGGAGCCAGTCACAAACTTCACAGATCAGCAAAAGCCTTTATTCAGTAATGGAGTCACACCTCTAAAATGGGCCTACTTTCCTGGTGGAAAATGAGCCACTGGCCAAAGAGGGAGTCCATACTTATATAGGTCACACTGAGAATTGACTTAACTCAGGAATTTGGGGTCTGATTTACTGGGCAAGATGGCGGGGGCAGTTCTGGGGTCAGTGGTCAGTATTTTGGATTTGTCTTTACTGGGCCAGATGGAGGGTCTGGGATCAGTGGTCAGCATCTGGAAATGGATTTTTTTGGGGAAGGATCAATGTTTTTGACCTCTTCCCACAGACTGTCCTTCCAGATTTGATAGATATCTCCTCCCCAAGACCTGTCTTGTTACTGGGAAAGAATGTATTGGGAAAGGATCAATGTATTGCCTTCTTTTTCACTCCCTCTCCCCATACCACACTATTTTGGGTTTGTCATTTTCCATATCCATCATATATAGTTTATATATAATATATTAATATATATATGACATTATATGTGTGTGTATATATATGTATATACACACACACACACATGTGTGTATGTGTGTATGTTACTAAGGATCAAACCTATGACCTTCCACATGCTAAGCAAGCACCCTACTACTTAGCAATACCCCCAGTCCCTAGAATTGTTAAGGAAAGAAAATTTACAGTTATACTTGTTATAAAACACACTGAGGAAGACTTTTTTCAGGACCATTGCAATAGGTATAGGGACCACTGCAGTGGGATTCCTGCCACTGGGTGGGATTTTATAGTGAGGAGAGAGAGATTAGGCTCAACTCCAAATATAATATAGGCAAATATAATTTATGGGCAAAGAACAAAGTCAATGGATGGAAAATTACTAAGAAGTAAGGGGGATTCTGCCTAAACAGATTAAGTAAGATTCATGCTAGACAGACCAGGGTGATCAGAGAAACCTAAGTAATAGAGGAAGATGAGGAACCTTATAATGTTTTGTTGTTTTTGGGGGGGGGGTGAGGGTGGTATTCTTGCTAAACTGATTTGGCAGAGTTTTTTGCTAAAAGCTAAAACCAAATTTTGTAAGTACAAAGATGGGTTTAGGAGAAGCTTCAGGAGCCTGATCAAGCACAGAATCTTTGTCACAATCAATCCACCAAGTATAGCTAGAAAGTCCAGTTCCTTTCTAAAGTCTGTTTTCAGGACTGGGATGTAGCATGGGCAAGACTCTGAGTTTGATTCCCCAGCACCACCACCAGGGGAAGAAAAATTTTAAGTCTATTTTCATAATTTAAGTATTGGTAATATAGGAAAAAAGGACAAGAGGCTGGTTCTATCCTTTTTGATCCCTAACAAAACATAAAGGTAAAGCAATGGGGAAGGGCTATGGAGAGGCAGATGGAATCCAAGGAAATGAAAGGTGCCATGGAAATCTCAGATTCTGGGGATCCCAACAGTGGACTGTGATAGTTTCCCATGAAATTTCTCCATAAATGGCACTGCACGTGGATCTGATGAGATTTAACCGTTTTTTCTCCCCCAAACACAAAATTACTACTTTCTGGGAGGATCTCCTAAGTATCTTCATTCAAAATATCTCTGTATACCTGGGATATGGTTCAGTGGCAGACCTCTTGCCTAGCATGCTCAAAGTTGTGGATTCAATCCCCAGCCCGAATCTGTGCTTCTTTATTTTGAATTTAAAAAAGACATCCCTTTTATTTATTAATCGCTGCTAAGTCTTCTTTTATTATTTCAACAGGGGGAAAAAAGTGATATAATAGGGTTGGGAATATAGCTTAGTTGGTAGACTGCTTGACTTGTATGCACAAGGTCCTGGGTTCAATCCCCAGCAACAAAAAAATAAAAAATAAAAAGGTGAAGTCACCAGTCATGGTGACACATGCCAGTAATCCCAGCAATTTGGGAGCCTGAGGCAGCAGGATCTGAAATTCAAGACCAACCTCAAAACGTAAGGAGACCCTGTCTCAAAATAAAAATTTTTAAAAAGGGCTGGAGAGCTGGGCACAGTGGCGCACACCTATAATCCCCGCAGCTCAGGAGGCAAAGCCAGCCTCAGCAATAGCAACTCAGTGAGACCCTGTCTCTAAATAAAATACAAAATAGGGCTGGGGATGTGACTCAGTGGTTGAGTGCCCCTGAGTTCAATCCCCAGTACCCACCTCCATCACACACACACACACACACACACACACACAAAAAAAAGAATGAAAAGGGCTAGAGATGTAGCTCTCAGTGGTAGAGCACCTCACATTCAAGCCTACTACTGCAAAAATATGTAAATAAATAAATAAGAAGCCAGCCA